ATATTTAACTAATAATATGCAGTCCACATTCATTGTTTTGACTTCTTAAAGGTGTGAAAAACTATACTTATGAACAATAAAGACGCCTGCACTTCAGCTTAAATAATTACAGAAAATTGTTATTAAAACTCTATAAATAAATAAAAAATCGAGTTTAATTGAAACCAAAAATTGGTTAATTTCACATAAAACACGCATGATGTATTTTGTGTATCGATGCAATTAAAAAAATAAATTCATATATACATACAAATTGCAAATGTAAGATTGAAAGATTTTGTAAACAAAAAATAAGTTAGTGGCTCTGATTATATTATATAGATATGCAGGTGTGCTCACATTTGATAGGAAACACACCTCGTGGTGGTGGTGGAAACCATTCGGTGCATTGGCGAATATCTGCTAATTACCTCAGTTTGCGTAAATTCGAGTATGTAAGAGTGTACTGCTAGGGTTTACATCAATTACGCTTTCATTTCGCCGATAAACTATTTGTACTTTATTGAAACAATAATTAAGACATGTACTGGATAAAAAAAGCATTTAAATACTGCATTTTCTGCAAAAATTTGAGGATCAGCTGGTCCACTGGGTCGTAGTTTTAACAAGTGTGCAAAAGGACCGGGTTGCATACTTTAGTACTAGGCAACTTATTATGCTGGACCTCTTCAAACGTAAAAAACTAACAAATCCGTCCCCTAGGCAGTGGCAGTCATATATATATATATATTTAACCATTTTTCATATTTATTCATTCCTAGGCAAAAGTACTCTGCGTTACAATTTTCAGCCAAACCGGAGCACATTTACCACATTTTACATGGAGCTCTTCCACTGTGCATAGCCCTCAATATTCTCAAACTTAAAACGAGCTTTCACCTAAAAAAGCTGTTTTGTCATTAACCCACACCTATGCCACTAAGAAATACATAGATACTTGGCGAATAGCTCGCACATTTTTTTATAGTCTTACCACCAACAGTTCATCAATTAGAAGATTTTAATAGGAAATAAGGAAATTCCACTTCTTGCAATGTAATGATAATACATAGAACGTACGTGTATTATGTACACATGTCTGCATGTAATTGTGACAGCAAACTTGTTTTGCCTGCTAATCATGCTTTCAAACGCAGATATTTCCTAACTAACATAATTAATTAAACGAAATGAGCGAAGGCAGCGGTAGCATAATGGTCCTCAATTAAAAAGCAATTTAAGCGATAAGAAATATTTACGCAGCAAAAAATACCAACTTCATTCGAATTAAATAGTGGGGCACAAAACCAAGCCAATGACAATTTCCTTTTAACATATGTGTGTATATACACACACACACCCCTGCAGGAAATGTATCTAACTATAAGCTAACTTTAAGTTGATTAGGAAGGAGCTAAAAGTCACTATTATCTCTATATGGCAAAAAAAACGAAAATAAACGATTTATTAATCATATGATTAATCACAAGCCAAATAAAATTAATTGCAATTAATTGCAACTATTGATAAGTAATCGAATTTTTAAAGGCACTTTTTACAGTGCATATTCTCAAAAACACTTTTCCATAAAAAAATTTCGAATTCTCTTGTTAATAAGCCTTAAATAAAATAAAATTAGTATTTTTAGCGGCAATAATTATTTATTATTTAACCAAGTTTGCAAAAACAAAACTATTTTCCAACCTATGTCAGAAGCCATCTGTGTGCAAGATTTCTTGCAAATCCTTTCAGTCGTTTCCGCATATTAATTTAATTAAACTTTTTTAGCAGGTGGCAACTCTTAAAAAAGTAGCCTATTT